CTCTCTCTCTCTCTCTCTCTCTCTCTCTCTCTCTCTCTCTCTCTCTTCTTGTTTAATTTGAAAGTGGAAGGCCACAGAAGAAGGCAGAACCAGAAAAACTATTGTTGAATCCTGTGCCCACTGCTCTCATGATGTGACGTTGGACAAGTATTGACCCTGTATAGGCCTGTTCTCATAGCTGCATAATGTTCTGCAGTATTTAACTGACACCCCTAACTTAAAACAATATAAGTTGAAATTAGAGTATGAAGAAGAAATAACAATTGTCATTGTTATATGTGTGATTCTGAGTGCTCACCTGTTAAATGAAGTGTTGAAATAATATGTAATAAAATAATTGTATCTATCACACAGATCATATTATTATATTATTATAACAAATATCCCATAGACAAAATTTTTTAAAATCACAATATATGACAGGTGAATAGAATATAATAAGAGAACAAAAGTGAAAAAATATTTGTTGCTTTATTACAAAGCTTTCATCAATTATTTTCTTTAAAAAGCAACAGCCATTTACTATGATCAAGTAGGCTTCATCCCAGAGAGTCAGGATGGTTCAGCATGTCAATGTAAACCATATAAACAAACTGAAAGAAAAAACACACCATTGTCTCATTAGCCTGTCATAATGAAGGTCTTGGAGAGATTAGGGATACAAGGAACATGCATAATAAAGGCAATATACGGCAAGTAGACAGTCAACATCAAACTAAATGGAGAGAAGCAAACTGATTCTTCTAAAATCAGGAGCAACACCATTTAAAATAGATTTTTATTTTATTTTTATCAGCACTTCTAAAAATAAGATGTAGTACAGGGTATTTTGAAGACATTATTACTCAACTATTAACACTTGTATTATCTTTTGAAAAATAAAACTGAATTGCATAACTAAACCACTGCATTAGTGTTTCACTTAAGCCCCCCTTTTCTCCATACAGCAAGCAGTAGGCATCAATAGCACTCAATAATCACTTTCTTTAAATAACACACTTATCAATAACATGAAGTTGGAAGTGTCTTACATCAGTGTGTCAGCCTTTGTGAATGTCACACACTTGAGAATGTACTCATTCACTCCCATGCACATGCATGAAACACTCCCTTGGAATAGAGCTTTTCCTATATGATAAACTGGTTTTGACTAATTGGTGACTACAGATTGATGTACTTCTGCAATCACATGAATAATTGGTCTATCACTATGTGTTGTATGCAACTCTGGGTGAGAGTAAATGCAGTTACACATTTTCCTCAAATAAGAGAGGGGGGAGAGGAGAGGAGAGGAGAGGAGAGGAGAGAGAGAGAGAGAGAGAGAGAGAGAGAGAGAGAGAGAGAGAATATGATAGCACAGAAACAAATAGAAAGAAGGGAGTATCTTACACTTGGAGATTGAATTTGGATGTTTGCATAAACTTAGCTTTTATGCATCTTTACAAAAGTCCTTGATGACTTACAGCAACTTAAAGAAACTGTAAAGGAATTAGATCATTCATAATACTGCTACCAACATCCAACACTCCTCCATCTGGGCTAACATTACCATAGTGTGGTTGGCTCCCATGGCGATGAGGTGCTATGATCTCCACCTAAATAGAAATTCACAGTCTGAGAAGATGCACTCATTCTGGAAGGACAGACACTTAACAGTATAACAGGGAAGTTTCCCACCAGGTCATGACTCCTGAGCTTTCTCCAAAACAAATATTTAAAAAGTATGCAACAACATTTTTTTAAAGCTTAAGGAAAATATGAAGAAATATTCTGCTCTTCTATTTTTGCTTTAGTTGTGCACACTGGGGAGAAATTTTAATAATCATTGCCTGGAAGTGTGCAGAAATCATTTTTTAAAAAAATCAGCACAATCAAGAAAAAAATTGGAATCTTTCTACTCATACGCATTGCTTTATAGAAGAAGGGGAAAATCCAGTTATCTAACATATACATCAGAATGGAATGCAGGTTATCAAACCTGTGCAGCAAGGGCTCCTACCCCGTAGGCTATCCCAGCATCCCAAAATGTGGGAATTTTGCTTTTGCTTTTGGCCTTCTGCCTCTGAATTACCCATGTATAGTCATGAGACATTTTGGCTACAATGGAGCCTACATGTGCAGCAATCCCATGTGATGATGATAATGGCCCCGCTGATGTGACTTTTTCTGAGGGCACAGAATGAATTCGTGTCTATTCCGTTACCATGTGGGGATTGGTGTGGGAGAATTGTCTGTATTCTGTCAATCATGTTTTAAATAAATGCTGATTGGCCAGGCATGAAGTATAGGTGGGAAAACCAGACAGGAAGTAGAAATGATGCAGTGAGAACAGGAGAATTCTGGGAAGGAGGAAGTTGATTCCTCCCACTCCTGCCCAGATCACCAAAGCAGTAGGATATGATCTGCCCCACTGAAAAAGGTACCGAGCCATATGGCTAACATAGATCAGAATAATGGGTTAATATAAGCTGCAAGAATTAATAAGAAACCTGACCTAATGGGCCAATCAGCTTTATAACTTATAGAGATCTCTGTGTGATTTTTCTCTGGGACTAAACAGCTGGGGGGCCGGGCAGGACAGAAACCCCAACTAGCAAGCCCTTCATGTTACAGGGATGATGTGGAAACTAGGGCCACACTCTATCAGGTCAGCCACTGCTGCTGCTGTTAGAGGACACAGAGGCTCTGTAACCCACAAAAAACATAGATGTGTTTCCTGCAGTTCTGGAGGGAGTATGAGTTCTGGGAGCCTTTAATGAAGTTCTTATTGTTGTCTTTCTGACATATTTGGAAAGGCAAGTGAGTGAAGATGGGACAGGCAGACTAGAATGATAGATAGATAGATAGATGGAGAGATGGAGAGATGGAGAGATGGAGAGATGGAGAGATGGAGAGATGGAGAGATGGAGAGATAGATAGATAGATAGATAGATAGATAGATAGATAGATAGATAGATAGATAGATAGATAGATAGAGATAGAGATAGATGGATAGATAGATATGAATGAATTCACCCCTGGATAACAACATCCCTAATTCACTCCTAAAGGGGGCAGTCTTCGAGACTGTCCTACCCAACTACATCTCCCAGATCCCACCTCTCACCACCATTACATTGCAGATTGTTCCAAAGACAAAAACTTTGGGGAACACATTCAACCATAAAAGCATCTCATGAGTAAAACAAACCCATTAATTCTCAGGAAGAACAGAAACAATGATCTCCTGGGGAGGGGCTAAGTATATTCATAACTGTGTGTTGCAGGGGCTCTACTAAAACCCAATGGGTTGCTTTTAGCTCTATTTCAAAGAGTTTCACTGAGGAAAACCCAGTCTGTTCTCTTCTCTGACATTTATGTACAATTGTAAAATGGGATATCGATCTCAACCGGGATTTCTGATGTTATCTGGAAATACAGAATGGGTGAAAAGCTAAGGAAGTCATCTTCAAGGTGAGGATTATCTTGAGGAACAGATGAAAACAGTATCAAAATTCCAACTTTTCTGGAAACATGTTACTTCTATAGAAGGTGACAATGCAGAGGACAGAAACATTCAGTAAAGTAAAAACAAGTACAAAGAAAAAAGAAAAATTAATATATTGGCTGTGAATTGGGCATGTGGCTGTCTGAGAAACCTTGTCTTAAGTACTTATTAAGTAAATAGAAAAATTTTACTTTGCTTCCAAAGCAGTAACAAATACAAAATGAGCAAAGCTCCTCATCCTTTTGGACTGAAAGGAGGCCAATTCTCTAGAGTGCTTTGTCCCTCTCAGGTGAGAGCAGACACACCATTACTACAGGAGCCACAAGTAAGCTGTTTCCGGCAGGCCAGTGAAGGGTGCTGATGTGGGATTCCCCTCTATACATCCTGGAACCTTCCCAGTAACGCACAATCCTCGTGCTAAAATACAAAGTAATAAAAATAGGTTAATTCAAGATGTAAGCATTAGCTAGAAACATGCACAAGCTATTGGCTAAACAATGTTGTAATTAATATAGTTTTGTGTTGTTATTCAGATCTGGGTGGCTGGAAATGAACAAGCAATCTCTGCCTCCAGGGTGCTGAATGTATCTCTTTCACCCAACAGAGAGAATCATCCCACCTCTGTCCAATGGGTCAATTTTTAAACTTTAATATTTTTTCAGATACATTTTCTCTGTATTAAAGGAGTTATCTGTGCTAAATATTGAACTTGGACATTTCTCTTATTTCATTTACTATTTTGATTATATGTGAGAGTATTGTGTAAAGATGGGTGGGTACATGCCATGGTGAACCCAAGGATGTCAGAGAATAGCTTTCAGAGTTGTTTCTCTTTTCTTCCTTTATGGATTCAGGGATTGAAGGCAGTTTTCTGGTCTTACCCTGAATGTGTTTTATCCCCTAAGACATCCCATTTACCCATCAGGTTGGAAATCTTCTTTTGACATTCAGCACGATTTGTCAGCTGCTATGTGTCTAGTTAAAGAATGGCTCCTCATCATTGTTGGACAAGACATCCTGATCTCCATTTCAGCCTCCTTGCTATGGCAACCCTTACCATCTGATCTTTGCAGCCGTCTCCCTCCAGGCTCCCGCTTCTCATCTGTGCAATGTTCTGTGCACAATTCACCATAATTACTGCACCATTAAATAAGTTCATGGATGAAAAGTCCTCAGAGTCATGCCTAGAACACAAAATGTACAGAATAAATGTCATTTGTTGTTTATATAATAATTACTCTGCTGGAAACTGTTCTCAGCTCACAAGCAACAGTTCACCGGCCTCAAGGTCAAGTTCCCCCATTTGATTCCTCCCTCTGGTGTTTTAATGATTTTTGCTACTTTTCTTAGCAAAATTGCTTTTTCCAACTCTATTCTATTTCTATTCTTGAAAAAGTAATCCATGCTTCCTCTTTCTCTCATCTAACATTTCTGACATTTATGCTAAACATTCTGAATCTGCCAAGGTTTTCCAAGCCCTTTATCCCCTACCTATGAAATCTACTTGATTCTGGCATCCAATTTACTCTTGTTGACATTTGAGATATAGGCAAAAGGGAAAGGCAAGCTGAGGTGGGACCCATAACTCCCAAGCTAAGGTGGTACTCATGACTCCCGAGCTGAGATGGTATCCATGACTCCTGAGTTGAGGTGGTATCCATGACTCCCGAGCTGAGATGGTACCCGTGACTCCCAAGCTGAGATGGTACCTGTGACTCTTGAGCTGAGATGGTACTCATGACTCTGGAGCTGAGGTGGTATCCATGACTCCTGAGCTGAGGTGGTATCCATGACTCCTGAGCTGAGGTGGCATCCATGACCCCCAAGCTGAGATGGTAGCCATGATTCCCAAGCTGAGGTAGTATACACAGGACTCTTGGGCTGAGGTGATCTCCGTGATTCCTGAGCCGAGATGACACCAGGACTCCTAGTCAGACTGTGAACCTCTTAAGAGAAATGCCTCCCCCCCCCTTACATTCTCAGCTTCCTTCCACGTTTCTGGCAGAACTCAGACCTTAATAGAACCTCAGTAAATGATGGATGAAGGACACTGATGAAGACCCAAAGAGTGAGAGTCATTTCGTTGCACTTATACCTGGACCCACTCCTTAGCTTGTTATTCACCATCTTGCTTACTTCTTCCAGGTTAAAATTCATCTGTCATTATTAGCCTGAGTGAAGCCACATTGCTAAGGGTCTCTAAGGGTCTCTCAGGAGATGAAGCGGCTGGAAGTGAGAAAGATAACTGGAAAGAGAGGTTTCCATGGTTTCTTGGTCTTATAGAGTAGACATTTCCCTGTAATGTCACACAGAGACCATGGTAGGGCCCAGGTCAGACCAGACCAGAGAACAGCAGCCATGACTCTCAAATTCCTTTCCTCAACCTCATAAATACATTTATGCTATTGCAAATCATTTTTGCCAGCAGTCTGAATCCTTCCCAATGCCCAATTTTCAGGTTTGTCTTTGCTTTTTTTTTCCCTACAAGAAGAATATAAAGGTGTACTCCATTGTACAAATGAGGAAACAGGCGTTAGGTCCATAAAGTGATTTGTCCAGAAATTCATTAAGAATTCACTCACTGTGAACCAGAATTCAAATTAGGAGTACTTCACTTCTGAGCCCGCTGCCATTACAGCCTTCCACATACAGCTCACATGAACGGCAGCCTGCATAGGGAATAAGACCGCACGGGGGAGGCCGGAGAGGTGGAATCACACTTCGATGTGGTGGAGGCCAGCAATCCCCTCTGAGAACTGTTTCAGATGCATAAGTTTCCTCACTGCAGACAAATAGTCTAGCCTGAAACAGGTACTTGAAAGACTAAGGCATTGAAACGACAACTGATTAATTTCCTGTGTATATCAAGTCCAAGAAATGACCTTTTTTGTTCCTTTTTGAATGTTCTCAAAAGTTTGTGTATCACTCTGGATGGAAAGTATTTGTTTTTCCAAAGCCATTTGCCAAATTCAGTGGGTTTGCATTTCCTTACTATATACACAATGGAAACTCTAAGTTCAAGCAGCCAGCAAGAAAGAATGTGAAATCACTGTCTCCCCTCTACATTATATATAGGACAGTGATGTGAATGAGATGAACTTCAGGAATCAGGTTTACAAGGTCACTGGAGACTCTGCTAATATTCTGTTGCCTCCAAGATGTACAATTACATAGCTGTGTGCCTGCCAATTGTACCAAATCCTACAGTGCTCACACCAGAGGGCTCCACAATGTTGAAAAGAACATAGTGTTTTTCTTTTATTAATCTCAACTATACATTAAAAACAAATGTTAAAAGTAAACAAATGTGCTTAAGTGTTGACTTTCGGAAGAATCTGCGTGAGAAGGCAATATTATCAATTAAGATCATAGTTTCCAAAACCATAATAAAAACAACAAATGTCTAGTTGACTTACTTAAGAGCTTTGTAAAATATGCCAGCGGCTGGACCACCCCCATGCTATCTGTAATCAGTAGTACAATACGCAAAACCTGTTCATATAGTAACTTTACTGCCAATTCTACCACTTAAAAATCCCAGGCCTCTATTTTTATTCAAGCAGTGTAGCTGCACCCAGAATTCCACAATCAAGAAACATAATGACTGTGGAGCCCTCCAGTGCCTCTGGACAGTTTCTGGAACACAAGCATTTTTTGGTGGCTCTCTCTACTCAGCATTTTATGAGAGTTCATCTATTAATTGTCTGGGACCCAGTGTCAAGATGGGCATACCAGAAGACAAATGCGTGTCTACTCTGAAGGCTTCAGCAGTGGAAGTGGTCTTGTATCAGGAGGGTCAGAAAGAAAAAAAGGTTTACAGCTAAATATATGGTCTTAGTATGTCTCCAGTCTGAAACAAGAATTGTTCTGCCAGCTACCAAGAAATGAGTGGCCACTGATGACCATATGCAGTATGACAGAATATGTCTGAAGTCTCAAGTGATCTTCAAAACTTCAATATGAACTGTAGTGATATGTTTTCACAAATAAAGCTTGCCGGGAGATCAGAGTGTAGAGCTAAACCACTAGGGGCCAGAGAGTGGTGGCACACACCTATAATCCCAGGTCTCAAGACAGAGGCAGAGGGATCTCCGTGAGTTCAAGGCCACCCTGGGCTATACAGGATTAAATCTATCTAAAAGAGAAACAGAGCTCACACAAAGGTGATCCCAGCACTAGGAAGGTGGCACAGGAGTGGGACAGCTATGTAGAGAGAGGAATATAAGGTAGAAGGAGACAGGAGCACAGTGCAGTCTGAGGTTTGAGGGAGACAGTCTTGAGTCTGTGCAGTCTGCGTCTGGAGATGCCGTCCGAGGACAGGATTGCTCCTTCGGTCTGAGCATTGATAGAGATAAAAGAACTCTCTAGTGGCTGGCCTCTCCACTTCTCTGATCTTCAGCATTAACCCTTATATCTGACTCTGGATTTTTGTTATTAAGATCAACTAGAATTCATGCTACAATGAGGTATGTATTCTTTTTTAAAAGTTTTTTTTTTTGCTATGTATACACACACCAGAAGAGGGCACCAGATCTCATTATAGATGGTTGTGAGCCACCATGTGGTTGCTGGGAATTGAACCCAGGACCTCTGGAAGAGCAGCCAGTGCTCTTAACAACTGAGCCATCGCTCCAGCCCCCAAGGTTTGAATTCTCAATGTCTATTCCACGAATGAAAAACAATTGAGAATCAGAGAACTGAGTCATCCCTTCAAGGCCCCATGGTTAGAAACTTCTAGAAAACAGTCAATCTAGTGCCCTTTCTATTTCAACAGCTCTGTGTTTTCTTCCCAAACAAGAAAAAAAAATGTCCTCACTTTACTTACATCTAAGATGGACTTTACTCTGCATTTTACAAGCGGCAGCTATTTGTTACCTGAGCCAGACGGCGGCTAACAGTCTTGGAGTAGTGGAAGTATGAAATTCAGATGTCCTTCAAGAGACCCCAGAACGACAGCCCCTTGATTCACCGGTGGCTTTGCACCAAGGCTACGCCTCCTCCACTCTGCTCCCAGTCGGTGAGTTGGCAGACATATTAGTACCAATTCCTCCCTACTGGAAGTGGGGCTCTTCCAGAGGAGTTTCAGTCGTTACACTGAGACCATGTTTCACGGTGACGGACACCTCCTCGGAACCGTATTGCAGTCTGGAGCTCTCCATGGCAACGCTTTTCCATGCCCCTCCCGGGACTTCAGCACGACCTTGCTATTGCTCTGCCACCTTTCTTTCCCTACAGGGCCCAATTATCTTTCAACCAATAAAGGCCAAATGTACTATGCTACGGCCTAAGCTCCTTTCCTGACACCTTATCTTCTGCAGGGCATAGTGCAGGCTGCATGGAAACCAACAGTCCCCACTTCCTTCATCATCTGTCCCTTGGCACCCGACTTTCAATCAATACCAAACTATGTCCTATTGTTTTCTGACTCTGGGCGTAGAATCTGGGATTTCATTCGGACTGATAGACCCTGCTCAGCAAGATCAGTCGTACAGAATTTTCCATGGCTTTCGTTAGTCACATTGTTGTGTAGCCTTGTGAGTCTCAATGATTACTTTTCCTGATTTATCCTGATGAACCTGACTGTCTTTGGGTAAATGTATCCCTTGGAAACAAGCAAGGATGAGTGAACAGATTCATGTACACAACAGCCAGCAATTATAGTGCTCACTTCAGTAATAAAAAGGGAAATAAACCTAGAGATTCACAAAAGCAGATTAGCTGAACAAGTAATCAGACCATCCATAGGTGGAAGTACATGCAATGGTGAAATACAGCGCCTGAAAATAACTTAATAAACTGTTTACAGTGTAATCGGTGAAAATCTGGAGTCCATGTTTTTTGGTATCATGAAAAGGTACATTTAATTTTAAAAGAAAATATGGAGTGTAATTTTAAATTTTGCAGGTAATAGATTGTCTCTAAATTTCTTTTTTGCATTTTCCTGCATCTCCAATGCATTTTTTCCTCTTTAAACACAGTCAAGTCTATAATGAGAGAGAAGCAGTCTGCTAGTTACAGGTTTCAGACCTTGTGGAGGCACACAGGGCTGGTGATCACAATAGCACATCATTAACATCATCTTTGGAACCCGTCAGAAACATTCATTTTCACTCAGAAAGAATCTTCTCTTCAACCATAAAAACAAGCAAAATACACATATACGCATACATACAAACAAACATACAGACATACATACATACATAAGCACAAATGCACACACGCACACCACACACACACATACACATTCTCAGACTAAACAAAACATCATGACTCTACTCAGAGGGTTAGGATGAGGAGAAAAAGGCTTTAAATTTTATGATATGACTAAAATTCAGAAAATACACACAAACTAATAAATAAGTATTCGATACTACTCAAAGAACAAGAAATAATGTTTTTAAGTTAAAAATATTTTTTAAAAAATTTAGACCTATATAACATTAATTGACATTAGTTAATACATTTATAAGTAACTATATGCTAGTCACTGCATTTAATTGTAAGTTCATATTTATTTATAATAAAATTACTATTCTTTCAACGATCACCATTAGGGGAAATTATTTTTAAAAAATATACTCCTGATTTTTCACAAAAATCACATAAAAAGTTAATTTCATTTTTGCTGTAGATTATTTTCTCTCACTTGGAACAAGCTCAAGCTCCTGTTTGGATTTGACTTTCCCATTTCATATGATTGACAAAAGCCCAGCTCTTCCATTTTCAAAGTAATAAAATGGGATCAATAAAGTAAATCCCTTGCAGTACAGTAATTGCTCTAAGACTCCCAGTTGCTTGTTAGATTTTTAACACAATTTAACTGCATCTAGCTTGGCAAGGTGTATGTCACAGGTTCTCAAAAACAA